AAGTAGGATTTCTTCAGGCTTGATTCCTGCCCTGGAGTACTGAGTAAGAAGAATTCTTACAATTTCTAAACAGTTTTTATGGACTTGCACAATTCATATATAAAATGCTACTGCAAAACCTTGCAATATAACCCACATGAAACAAGAAGCCTATAAGGCTGGAAATTCCAGAAAACCTAGCAGAATTAAGTCACAGCTGAATATGCATGAATATGTATTTTGAACCCCTCTTAAAATTCAGGAGTACTTTGTTGTCTTCTGGAATTCAGCTCCATATGAATAACCCCATTAGATGCAAAAAAACACTAATAAAAGTTGGAAAAAAACCCCAAAACAAAACAAAACAAAAAACAGAGAAGGGAAAGAATGACAGGTCAAAACCATTAGAGTTCATCTTTAAGTAAATTTAAAAATATTGTAGATATTAATTAATTAACAACCATCAACATTCTTCAGAGATGGGTACAGCTAAGTCTGTGAAATTACAAATCTTATTTTATTTATTACCTTATTATGCTACACTGGGCATTTTTATTGCTTCATTTCTATTATTTGGGAATTTGCTATGATTTCTTCCAAATTTTCCTTCATGCTGGTAAAGCCATCTTTAGATAACCTAGTGATGTTCAAGCAACATATCCCAGAATTTAACCTCAAAAATGATATGCAGATCATATTTAATCATGGAAAATTAGAAATTAACATCCTTAATACCTTGAAACTATATGCTCTATCATTATGTGAGACTATTAATCACACTGAATTAATCAATGGAATGAGAACAAACAAAATTCAGTTCACTGGTTCACAGACTACGAAGACATGGAAAAAATCTGAAGGTCAGATATGTGCAAATATGTCTGGTCAGACATACCAGCCTCTGGAGGTTAAAATAATTTGCTCTAATGAAACTTAGTAGAAAGTATCCTCTGATGTCTGAAATTATCCAGGTTTGCTGGTGTTTTCAGGTTTTTTGGGGTTTTTTTCCCCTTTGGAAATTTTACCATAGCAAAGCTAATGTGCAGTATCTGCACAGAGCTAAAATGAAGAATTACATAATTCACTACTGTACAGTAATAATATTAAAGTTAACATATTTTCCAGAGAAATAAAAAAGATAAGAAGAATAAAAAAGTAAGAAAAACTGGAATAAAAGATCCTACGCTCTCAAACATCAAATATTTATGCTCCCTAGGTTTCTATTTCCTAAATTTTAACAGACTTTCTGGTTTTTTTTGAGTCAAGATAATTTACTGCTCCAAATCAGCATCCAAGCCTATGAAGATACAATTTAACAAAGCTGTTTATTATTTGTAAACAGTTATCAAATAATATCCTCAAAGTTTGTAATGCATTTAAAGGCAGTTAATGAAATTATGCATATTTTTTTATTTCCTGCTAAAACTTTTTATCTCCTCACAATTTTAGGGTGTTTTTATAACCCAGCTTGAAGTGAAATTGAATTATATGAAATGGCTGATTGTCAAGGACATCTGAACAAATGAGGTATTCATTTTATTCAGAATCCATCGAAGGATTTCTTGATGTTTTTATTTAATTTGCTTCATATCAAGCAGCTAAGCTCCCCTTTGAGACACATCACAGAAGAAATAAAAGATTAATAAAATCACAGTAAGTTCTTACAATCTTTCAGAGTTTGACAGAATGCCTTAATATTATCCCAATTCTTTCTCATAGATAAATAGAGACCCGTGTTGTCATTGAAGAGCCTTTTGTCACAAGCTGTCTAGTCCCCTGGGCAAAGGTACTGTATATACATCAAAATCTAAGAATGATGATAAATAAATCAATTAGAGTACTTTAGAGTTAATGATATATATGTTTGGAGAATAGTGGCTATATAAATTGTTTTATTTATATAGAGCTATTTGTAAAGCTGTTTAAAACCACAAGCTCTTCCTGTGGTTTCTAACAAATGTGCTGACTGCTTAGGGAAATGTCAGTTGTGATGCCAACCACTGGAACTAAGAAAGATGTATTATTTTTAAATCTAACTGAGTATTTGAAAAGTTCAAAGTCATTCAAGTAATTTTATGACAAAAAAGCTTAAAAAGCCATATTTAGAAACATATAACACAACTCAGCAAACATAGAGTCGATTGTATTTTCAGGTAATTTGATGTTTGTTTTAATGCCATTTTTAAAGCCTCAGTTCCCTCTTGGAGTCTATTCCCAGCTGTTTCTTTCTTCATAAATTATTTTAATTTTCTTTAACTAGGTAGCACTACTTTTCAGCAGTTATTCTGTATTTTGACACATAATGAATGCATACTATAAAAATTATCCCATCACACTTTAATATTTCTCAATGGATAATGGACCTAAGGCCACTTGTATGAAAATATAAAAGTACAGTATGATTTATGGAATTTTTTTATTATAATCCCAGATAGTTTTTAAAAGGCCCATATTATTGCATTATGTAGAGGGGGTAGAACCAGATAGATGTCCCCAAATAATATGATTTAGCAACCAGTATTTTCCTTTACAATTTTTTTCAAGGTAGGTTTATGGAGGCTGCAAAGTTAGGTAAAGAGTTGAGGTTTCTTCACTGAGAAACTTGCTCAGTCATACAGGAAAGCAAGCAATTTGCTAAAGAATTACATGATAAGAAAAGACCTTTTCAGAAATACCAACAGATTAAAATTAAGGCATGGAAGCCTAGTAGAAATTCATGTGTGTGAAAAAACAAGTCAGGAAACTGGGAAATTGTTGAGGAGATGTTCATCTATGTGCAAAGCTTCCCCAGTACTCCAGCACAGTTCAGAAGGTTGGGTTATCACAGTGGTATGACAGCCAGCCATGAAACAAAAATTTGCTGGAGGCTGGTATTTACTACTCACTTGACATTTAAAAAAATCTACAGTTTTCCTTCATAGATTTTTTTTCTTAGCTCAATGATGTAGACTACTTCCTTTATCCTTACTTACTCTCTAAATTTCCTACAGTGTATTGTGTACCTATGTGCTGTCAGTACAAGATGGATAATTAATCTGCTGAATTTCTGCACAAGATGGAGCCACATAAAAGGATGAAGAAATATTATAAAGAATAAAGAGAGTAAGCTATGAATAATAAATAAGACAATAAAATTCCATTTTTTTCAGAGTACAAAGAGATTAAGAAGGCAGTCAATGTTTGGAGTTTTAATTTGGAAAAAAATAATTTTATTAAAAAGATTAAGTTCACTATGTTAAGTCAGTAAAATTAAACACCTGAAACTCAAAAATTAACATAGGTATATACTAAACCAGCAAAAGAAAATAGGAAGTGATAAATTAAAAGAGCAGCTTTTTGCTGCAGAGGCTACATGCTATGCAGAAGGAAATTTAAATTTGCTACAATGAATAAACATTAACTTAATTTCATTTTAATCGGTGAACATATTTTTAATTTACTCTATTAAACGAAGTTATCCGTGTTCAAATCCAGAGTTTGTATTGTGTCTGTACCATAAGACTACTATTTGTTCAAAAAAAATCTATAGGCAAGACAAGTTTCTCTCTCTCTTTGATTTATGTAGGCATGAATTCACATGTGCTGAATTGCTGTGAGGAACTAGAAAACATAACTGAATGTGGAACATTTTGGAAAGAAGGAAAATATTGGTCATTTTCTCTCTTCCTTTGAACATGGCAGCAGAGATTGACACCCACTTCCCTGCAAGCTCCTGTCAGGCAGGTGTACAGTGATGAGCTGTCCCTGAACTTCCTTTTCTCCAGGCCAGCTCCCTCAGCCCCTGCTCATCAGATGTGTTTTCTGGACCTCTACAGCTTGACTGCCCTTCTCTGGCCTCACTCCAGACCTCAATGCCCAGAACAGGGCACATACTCGAGATGTGGCCTCAGCAGTGCCCAGTACAGCAGGACAATCAATCCCTGCCCTGCTCCTGCTGGCCACACCATTGCTGAGCCAGGCCAGGATGCCATTGGCCTTCTTGGCCACCTGGGCACACCCTGGATCATGTTCAGCTGCTGTTTTCCAGCACCCCCAGGTCCTTTTCTGCCAGGCAGCTTTCCAGGTACTCTGCTCCAAGCCTATAGCACTGCCTGGGGCTGCTGTGACCCAAATGTGGAACCTAGCACTTGGATCATCATTCTGATCCTTCTTGTAGATGGTGGGCCTCATATTTGCTATTTTCCAGTCATTGGGACTTTTCTAGATAACCAGGACTGTTGGTAAATAACTGAGAGTGGCATGGTGGGCTCTTTCACCAGCTCCCTCATTACTGTTGTGTGTATCCCATCCAGGCCCATAGACTTGTGGGTATCTAATTGGCATTAAGCATTCCCTCCTGGATTATCGGGGTATCACTCGAGTCCCCATCCCTAACTTCCAGCTCTGGGAGTTGGGTATCCTGAGTACAACTGGTTTTGGTATTAAAGATTGAGGCAAAGAAGACACCAAATATCTTAGACATTTGTCATCCTCTGACACTATGACACATTCTGCACCCAGAAAAGGATGGAAATTCTCCTCAGCCCTCCTTTTGCTGACCGTGTAATTAGAGAAACTTTTTTTGTTGTCTTTAATCACGATGTCCAAACACATGAATGATCTCCTGGCATCCTGCAGCTGGTCTGTAAACCCCATGTGGCATTGGCCAGTCCCCTGTGGACGTCTCAGGGGCCTGAGAGTATCAGTGTGGCAGTAGCCACTTGGCTTGAGGCAAGTGAACCATTGCCTGTAAAGGAGATGTGCTTCTCTCTGTCATTGACACATCAGAATAGCAAGGTGGAGTAACTGTTCTAAGCAAAATACACCAAGAGGTGTCAATCTGCGCCTCAACCTTTGCATATCTAAATATTTTCACAATGTCTGGATATTTTAAAAGAAACTGCCTCCATTAACAACTTTGCCAGTTGTCACAGAAAATGCATGCAGGTACAGAAAAACAATAAAATCATGGTTCTTATACTAATTATTTTTACTTTGCTATTTTTCTTTCATGTAGTACCCAGAGATAATGCTTTTCTTACCATCGTTTCTCAGTGTCAGAGGAGTAGGAGGGCTCAAAACTCTGGCATTTGTCACTGTGTTTTTTACCAGGCATATGTAGCTGCCAACATCGGATGTTTGCACCTTGGATATGTAGAGATTGCCTGTCTCCTGAGAGATGAAGCGCCTGCTGTCTTCTGCCACAAAAGACGGGAATTCATTAAATACCCAGCTATAGATGATCTCTAAAAGAATACAGAAATAAGATAGAGTTATTGCAGAAGCAATAAATTAATGTTCATCTACGGGGAAAAAAATTTAACTAAACATTTTATTTGTTTGGTTTAGAATTGAAATGAATATTTTTTCTCCCCTTGGGATTTTGAAAATAGCATAAATGTTGAATCCACAAGTTCCTTGTGAAGGCAGATTTAGTTCAGGTAAAATAATTGAATTTTTCAGCAGACTCAGAAAACAGCAATAAGATATTAAATAATTCCCTTTTCTAGTCTTTTGGGTCAAACCAATAATAATATCCAAATAATTATTTTCTTTACTTGTTCAGATTTGCAGGGAAATATATCAAGATTATTCTTACAGAGCTATGGATGACTTGTGCAAGTGTATGCATATAAACAGATTTCATTCTAAATGTTTTTATAATCACTAGACTGTAGTAACTGTTCAACATACCTTGTAGGTAAATTACTGCCTTATAGTTCTATCTTTGCTTCTATAGTTCTATCTTAGTTCTATCATCTGCTTCATTGAAGAATTTCTTAACCCTTCATTTATACAGCTTAAATCCCTATGATCAATGAATAATTCCTTAAACCAACTCTACCAACTAATCAGTGACTTTTAAAAATAGCAGTTAAATCAAGTCCCTTGGTTTTTATTTTTTATCCTATGAATCATCTATTTACCTGAACATTACTTTTCCCTTTATATTCATAATAATTAGCTGAGAAAAAAAACAACTTATTTCTTATTATTCCGTATGAGATTATATCATGACTTAATAAAAACCTAGATTCATTTATGTCTCAACATTAGAAATCTCAGTAACGTTAATGAGATTCTCATTTAGCAGGATATTCCTTGCAGAGAATTATTCATGTGGAGTTTCACCAACTCTGACTTTAAAGCCTTAACCCTATATATACTTCTTTGCACATTCTTCTCCTTTAGAACTTATCTTCCATTGTTTCATTCTTTCTTCACACTTTAAAAAAATGCTGTTGGCTACTTAAACTGGCACATTTGCTGTAAGGATATTTGTTCTGTAATCTCCCCCCTGTATAGCCTTCAAAAACCTGGCTTCAAAATGAGAAAAGCCAAAGCTAGTCCAGGAATGTAAAGTCCCCACTACAGCTCCAAGATGCAAACTCCTCCACTGATATAACAAATTCCAACCTTTTAGACTGAAATTTCTTGTGTGACTACTCAGCTTCAGCAGCAACAGGAAGACTAATTTCAAGTACGTCAGTCTAGTTCTCTCATACTTTCTTCCCCACAACAGTCAAAATGTTTTCTTGATATAAAGTTAGTTCAAAGATGGAAGGGTCAAAGGGGTGAGAGGAAACACCTCAAAATTTAAATTTTGCTATGTGATTTTCTTCTAATGATAGGAGAGGACCTGGTACAGCAGTTCTTTTTATAAGAAATGTGAAACACATTACATGCTAGCCAGGTGTGCACTTTGACTATAACAGTATAGAGAGCATTAGAAATTCCAACTGATTTGTCCTTTCCATCCTTATGTTGTACTGTCTGCTGACACCGTGGTGAGGAAGGAACAGAGAAGCACAATGACTGCTTTTTAAACCAATATAAGTGCATATAGTGCTGTAAAGATGCAGTGCCTTCTGAATCAGTTTTTAAGAAGTTTAGTTTTGAAATCAGATGAAGTCTCTCCTAAAAGACTGATGGTATCAATATAAAAATGCTATGTTCAAGGACTTGAACATACTTAGCTAACAGGAGGGGAAGACTGCCTCAAAATCTCAAAATGGGGAATTAAACTGCACACATAGACCTTTTGCTAAAATCTTTATTAGATTTATTAGTAATTCTGGTGGCTACACAGAAGTCCAAGGAATTAAGGACTCTCAGAAAGTTCTCTGTGTACTCAGATTCTCCTTTCTCTTCTGTTATGTTTCAGGCAAAATACTAATTATGTCCCAAATATGTCTCTGAAAATTTTATTACCACATTTTGCCACAATGCTTTATCTGGCAAAAAATGATTCATGGCAGCATAAAATTCTACAAAGTGATGATGAATACACAAGTTCAAGGAAAAGACATTGGCTTTAACTGAAGACCTGTTACCAGTTCAAATGGAAAGCAATCAGTCTCACTAATTGCTCTGGTTTAAAAGTAGTTCAAACCTAATGCAAAACAGTCATCAGTAAGGGTTCATTGGCAGTTCACAGAGAAGAGAATTTTCTCCATTTGTAGCCTAAAACCACTTACAATTAATTATTCATTTATTAATTAGAATTAATACTAAGGAACAGATTTCAGGCAATAAATTTTTGTACCTCTAAGGAAATAAAATGCTTAGTCTTTGCCGGTGCTGAATCCAGGGGGATACTGTCATTTTGTCACTTTCTTAATGATTTTTGCTGTTAAAAATGGTGTGATGGATGAAAGTGTACTGGTATAGGGTACTGAGAAAAAAAAGTAACAGAACTCCTGCCAAATCCAAAATTCAAAGCATTTATGCTATAAAGTTGTGCTAATGCTTTCATATTTGTTTTGGGTTTTTTTGTTTGTTTGGGGTTTTTGTTTTGTTTTGTTTGGGTTTTGTTTGTTTTGTTTTTGTTTGTTTGTTTGTTTTTGTTTTTTGTTTTTGTGCACACCTACAGCATCTATATTCCAGCCAGGAGCCTAAACTCTGAAATAAATGTTTAAAAAGTGTTAGTGGTTTACTTTTTGATTCTTGTCAGCCCATTGACATTGAAAAAATTGGTACTATTTTTCATTTCTAAAATGTAAAACCCCAGGAATGCACTTTAAAGTACCAGAAGAATGCATCTGAATGCTCAGATCTGGAATTAATCTGAAATTTTTGGTCTCCTTTGCAGGTGAAAAGCCCCTTAGACACTTCATGATTTTTTTTTTCTCCGTTTAGACCTCGTTAATGAGTTCAGCAGATTTTAAATAAAATTTTGAGGGTCATGTCCATACACCATGCATAGGCTTCAGTTGAAATATCTCAAGAGAATGTTGCAGACCAGTCAGAAACAACCACAGCTGGCTTGGGATCTGGGGACCCCACAGTTTTTAGCTGACAGAAATAGATGGATGATCTTGCAGAAGTGATTTTACAAAAGGATGTTCACAGAATGACTGCAATTAAGGGAAAATGGGTGTACCTTGACATTGATCCATTGTGCAAATATCTCACACTTCTAAATTTGCAGCCCTAGAAGAGGATGAAACATGCATCGCTGTTCACATTCTTGGACTCTGACTGTTTCTACTTTGTATGCCAGCAAAATTACTATTACAATTACTAGCAAAGGCGGGCCAAGTACAAAACCTGGGGGTTTGTTTTTCTACCGGCAGGATTAAGCATAAGCCAATACCCTAATGATTGCAAAGACATATTAAAAAACCCAAAAAACAAATAAAAAGACAATAAAGGAGAATCACCATTTAAAACATAGCTGTCTCTCTGTAAGGGTGTAGTCTATAGCACACGCACAGTAAAATATTCTGAAACAACAATGGATGTAGTCATGTCACAACTCCCACAGGAGTTCAGCACAAGAGCACGTGTAAAACTGCAAGAAGAAAGGCATTTAAATATTATCTGAAATCCTACTCTTACAAAATGGTAAACTGCTGACTACACTTTTAGGATTTCAGAACAAGAAGCCTGAGACCAAATAGATGACACGACATCTATTTGTACACAATTCACTGCAGTTTTAATTGAACTTCAAGCCTGAATTTTCCTATAATGGTTTATGTTAAAAGATTTTGGAATCAGTGTCATTTGGTTAAGCACAAATACAACAATATTTTTAATAGGATATTGAACTTCAGAGATGCATCTCAAGCCAGACAGAAAAATAACAAAGACCTTCAAGAAACTTTTACGCTAAAAGTCAGTGCTATCAAAATCAACTAAATTAGAACTTTAAAATCAGAAAGTAATTACTTTAGATATGTTCCTTATGAAGTAATCTGTTTTTGAGAGAAAAACTTAGTTAATGATTTTTCCATGCTGTACCCAATTTTCTTTCAATAAGGAAACAATAAGTTTAAGACGAAAGAGAAAACTAAACACTGCAGTATACAGAAGTTTGGAGGTTTTAAAGAATGTGTGCTGAGTTTATTTTTTTATTTTTATGCTTATCTATTTATTTTTAATGTGATATCAATGGCAAAATGACAAAGAAGACGCAGAGCCCTTCCTGGAAATTACAGTTGTCTGCCAACACAAAAGAGTGTTCCACAGATCCTATGCATCAATACAAACAGAAACAGAGAATAAAAGGATGGAGAAATTATGCATTATAGAACAGTTGTAAATTGAAATTTGTGTCATGGGCTGAAAAACTCTGCTGCTGAGATCTCTTATATATAATCTCAGTGTAAAAATTATATAAGTCATTTTGGTAACTACAAAATTGATAGTTCCTTCTATGAATGACCAACCTTGTTTACAGAAGGATGTCTCTAAGGAAATATTTATCTTTTGTTCTGAAGATGATTTAGAAAGCCTTCCTAATGTCCAATTTGTTTCTGTATTTGATTAAGCACTTTTTACTAGGCTATATAGCTGAAAATCTGGGTCATTTGGTGATGAAGTAGTAAGAAGAGTTCATCTATTTCCTGACTGAATGAATTTATAGTGTGAAATCCTGCTCACTATAATTTCTTAAATGATTGTTGTAGTTCTATTTTCTCTGTTAAACAGCACTAATTCCTAAACTGTCACAATGTGATGTATTTCCCATAATGGATGAAGCTGGAATACTGACATATCAGCATTTTTCTTAGTGATTTTTGGAGATATTCTGATGCAGAAAATGTCAGTACTATGGTAATGCAAAAGTCTTTCTGTCATTGTGGGTCAGTATGAAATAATGCCTGAAGTACTGTAAAGAGAGCTGTGCTGAAGCATTCAGATAACACCAAATATTCACTCCCGTGTTTGTTACTGCCTGAATGTTTCCCAGATTAGCTTCAGAGTTTTTCTCTTAAGGAATTGCCCCATTCATTCTTTT